GCGTGTAGTTTGCATTGGATTAATAGTAATTTTTATTTTAGGATCTGCAGTGTAAATTATGTTTTTTAGTCTCGCTAACTTTAAATTTAAGATTTAATTAAAATTCACTAGTTGTGAGAAATTGTATTAATTTACACTTTATTACGAAAAAAAATTATGAAATGATCTTATAAAAATAGTTAACAATTTACAACATGTCGTCTTAGTAGGCTTAATAGGCCTGTAAGGCCAGACCAGGCCTTGTATTTTTTAGAAAATAGGTCAAGTTAGGCCAATATTTTACCTTGCACAAGGCTAAGAAATCAGGTCAGGCTTGAAGCCTTGGTTCGTCTTCAAATTATAATGTACTGGAGAGAGGCCCTGCTATGATACCACTTGTAACGCATGATCACTTGCAAGATCAGTGACTGTCCCCGCAAACTAACATGAGACTTTTCAGCGTGCTTTGTCCTCACTCACACACTTCTTAAGAAAACTTCGTATGAGGTCACTCATCCCAGAATTGCTCCAAGTTAAGCATGCTTAACTATGGAGTTCTTCCGTTATGAGCTACCAAAAAGTATATGCATCTTGTTAGTATAGGTATTACTTATTAGTTATTAATTTTATAAGTTATCCCCAACTATACAGTCTCATACCTGCACAGTCTTTGAAATCTCTTATTTCAGGTGTTGATTCGATTAATTCACGTACCCTTCCAGTTGGAAACCTGCCCGGAGATGCTACTCCCCGCCCTTGTTAGCGCCCGAGTCGTTACATACTACTTAGAAATCAATCCAATTTTCAAGATAATGTGATGACGATTGAGATTCTCGACATTTCAGTGTATGATAGTAGTCCCATATATGATGACTCTGATGGAGAACATGATTATCACGGAGAACATGATTATCACATGATTATTCTGGTGAAGAATGAGATTTTAATAATGATCCAATCTATGATGATTTTGATATAGAGCAAAATTATGATGGTAATCCAATCTTTGATGACTTTGATAAAGAAATAGAGGGTAGAGTAGAGAATACACTTTTGTTGTGTTCAATGAGAAGCAAATGACCCAAGGGTTGAAGCCTAACAATATATTCGTGATTCCAAATGCTCACAAAGCTTACAGCCATTTTACTTATCGAACCTTCAAGCCATCATAGTTAAGTAGGGGTGAAAGTGGGGTCGGCCTAAAGGGGCCTACAGCCTAGCCTATATCAGGCCGGGCTTGACCTATTATATATAGTCAAATAGAACATACCCGAGCTTTTAAAGAAGCATATTTAGAAAGTAGGTGATAGACTTTTTTTACATACCGGACCTATAAGCCTACAGGCCGGTCTATATCATATTATTTATTTTAAATTAAATAAAATAATATTATTCATAGTAGTACCAAATGGTGATAGTTCACTTGGTGTATGTGAACTCAGTAGGTGGTGGAAGGACTTAGGTTCGTTCCTTCACCAATACTATCTTTGAGAGTGACATAAGATCTGTACCAATCTCTACAGTACCATCAGAATCAACATTTAGTACTAGAGGAAGAGTTATTGATGCTTAACGTTCTAGTTTAACTGAAGATATCATCCAAACTTTAATATATGACAGAGATTGGCTACATAATAGGTATGACTTGAAAAAATAAAAGGTATAAATTTAATCAATTGAAATTATTTTATAATTTCATGATTCTGCTTGGAAATTTAAAATTAACAGGCTAACGAGCTAAGCCAAGCCATTTGTTTTTTTATAAACGGGTCAAACCATGCTAACAGTTAGACTCTTACTAGGCTCAAGCCAATTGAAATTTTTTGGCATAGGCTTGGGTTTTTCGGGGCAAAGCTTGACTCAGCCCAACCCACTTTCTCCCCTAGAGTTAAGGATGTGCACTAGGTGTTTCATGAGATGGTTGTGAAAGACTCAATGGCTCTTAATACTATTGTTTTTGGGTACGCTCAACACGACTTTACAAATGAGGCATTGAATTTTTCATTTAGTTTAGTGCAATATAATCTTAAGAACATTAATGTGAACTTAAATGTGGTAATTTGGAACACTTCGAGATATGGGTTTTCACGTAAGGATGAATAAACATTGGTGGTCTCTGAGATCTTCATGTTGATGATTGCAGATGATGGTGTTGAGCATTAAATGTTATCGTTGACTTTTGTTATATTTGATATTGTGCAGAATTTCTATAATGGAAAAAAATTGATATGTTTAAGCAAATGTTGCGTCATGAAGATAAAATACATTTGAGGGCGAACATTTTTCTAGTGGAGGAGAATGTTACACTTAGAATTGTGTTTGTGTATGTACATTATTTTGGAAATTAGGTGTATCTTTATTTTATTTTATTTTTTCCATAATTTAGTTGTGTTTAATGTTGATTGATTTGTAACCAGCTATAATTATTTTTATATTCTTTCCGTATTTTTTGGATTTTAAATTTTAGATTGATTTGTCTATAAAAGGGTATGTAAGACCTTTATTACAAGAGTTTAATATTTTATTATTTTGATTATTATATTTAAGAACCATATGATTTTTCTTTTACTGATTTTCAACTTTTGTTTAGCCATTTATTCTATGTGTTTCCGGCATCACATATCTTATATTATTTTTGGCTTTGTTTATTTTAATGATTTGAACTTAGATTCACCAATAACTGTCTTGACTTAAAGTTTCAAAGCTTTCTTGTAGCAAAGAGTATTTTGAGCAAAATACTTGGAAAAACATATGCCTAGGCTTAACTGTATACTAACATGAAATAATCCCTAGGGGTGCGGGGCTGGTAAGCGTCATAAGACACTGCAAAATAATTAAATTGAACCAAATCTCATTTTTCTCAACCAAATTTGAGAATCAAATTGATCTCATAATTAATTCAAAAATTAAGCTGAACCAAAAGAATTGTTTCAAAAAATCAGTTCAAAACGAATTTTTATACCTGAATTAGTTTATAATGGGTTAGGAATCGGTTTTGAAACATAAACCGATTCCAAAAAAAAAAAGATAATTTAGTTATGAACTGAACCGATTTAAACTCATTCAATTCAGTTCAGGTTTAAAGAGTGAATTACGCAAAAAGATTTCTATTTAAATTTTTAGGCAAAGTAACTTGGGATATGTAGCAAAAACCTTTATGCTCTATGCGATAAAGAGAATTAATTTCATCCAAATCACTTGATACCATGAACAACCAAAATAAATAAATTAGAATAAATTTATTTCCAACATATATTTATTACCTTCCACGTATGGTTATTATGACTCGGCTAAATTGTGATACTGAAAAAGAGCTTTATTTATAATGGTAGACTACGAAATATGGAATTGTCACATTTAAGAGAACTTCACCTAAAAAATAAGGGCACTATTTTTGTCATTTTAAATGAGATAAAGATTATTTTCTACAGAGAAAATAATTGAGGAAAGAGAAAAAACAATGAGGTGAGAGAAAAAGTTTGCAATGGGATCCACGTCTGAATGTGTGTATAAGAATATTTTGATCTATCATGTAAAAGAAGAGACATCATCCCAAAAAATAAAGAGATGAGATATTGAATTTGAAGTTTAATAGTCGGAGTAAAAAGTGAAAATTAGATTGATAGATAAATTAGCGTAGCATATAAGGATGAGAAATAAATAAGGTCAAGGGGCATATTGGATTGAGATTTTAAAGTATTTTAACGGATTATTTTTTGATAAAAAAATTCACTGATATTTAATTAGGATTTTAAAGTATTGAAAAAAAGTCACGTAGTATTCAATTAGGATTTTAAAAGATTATTTCAGAGTCCTTTCAAATCTGATGATATTCAATCAGAATTTTAAACAAAGAAAAAATAATTGTGGTATTCAAAAATCTGAAGATTTTAATGAATTTTTTATTGGTGTGAATTTTCGTGAGACTTTTTTAGTGAGAAATATAGATAGGATGCCTCTATCACAATCTCACCCTAACACCTAAGATTTCTTGAGATTTTTCTATTTCAGTGTCTTTTTCTTCATTTGGTGGGTCGACCCACTCGAAACCGAGTTTCGACATGGGAGCTTCGTCAAAGCTCAAAAACAGCAGATATTTTGAGATTTTTTTCACAAAACAACCCAGAAACAACAACCCGACAATATTTTAATCTAATTCATCTCAAAAACAATATATTTTTTTTATAGTTTTTGAAAGTTTAAAAAATGATTTTCAAACTATTGGTTGCAATTTTTCGTTTCACAAAAATGTGTGTTTTTTGTATTAAAAATAACATAAAACATTGAAAAAACTACAATTAGAACAAAAATTCACAAATCAATTTTCGTTTTACAACAATGAAACAAGATCAATTTAAAGAAAGGTTAAAATTTTTATAATATGAACCTTATGCTTCATAACAATACATTCATGAACGGAAGTTTTTCGCTATAAGAAACGATTTTAAACAATTTTTGTGTCAATAGATTACTAAAAACTTATTTTTCAAAAGTCCCAAAGCAATTTAAGGCTTTTGTGTATTGTTTGAAAATAATTTGAGAAATTTTCTAAATTTTTATATAATAAAACCCAGAAATTCGAATTCAAAATTTTCTTGGAATATTCAATGAAAACATGCATATGATATATGGTTAGAAAACTCTCATCACATAGAATAAAACCCCAAAAATTTACAAGATCAATTGCAAAAAATTCGAAACGAAATTTTGTCATGAATTTTACTAATTAAGAAAACTATATTAGGTTTTATTTTTTTATTGACTCTTATAATTTTGAATATTTGTAAAGATTCATATGGTTTTTTAAAATTTTATAAATTAATATTATCTTTTCAAATTTTATAAATTTTATTAAAAATTTTTAAAATTCAATTTTATAAAATCTTGATTGTAAAATTTTTAATTTTTTGTTTTTAAAGTCCCTCCAATTTTAAATAATTTTTTAAAATTTATAAAAAAATTTATCTCAAAAAATATTTTAAAATCTTAATTCACTGCACCCCAAAATACAAAGAAGGTTCAGCAGCTTGGCTAAGGCACTAGAGAGTCAAGTGTGAGTTCTTCAATTGGAACTTTTGTTTATGATCGTAGAAATTCAATTTTACGACAGCAGAACATTAAGGTTTTATTTAATTTCACTTTATAGATTTAGGGTTTTTACTTTCTACTTGCAAGCACGAGGCCGTACCAAGTTCTGATATTATTCTCTATGATGAATCGCTAGGGTTTTTCACTTTGTTGAGATCGCTCGAACGAAAAGGAGCCATTCAAATTCAAACAGCGATGCCGAGGTACGCTCGGTTTTTAGTTTTCGGAATTTCTGTTTAATCGAATCCATGTGACTCGTTAATCCCTTGCTCTAATTTGCAGGTACTATTGTGACTACTGCGACACCTATTTGACCCACGATTCTGTAACTTCCTCACTTCACTTCTCATTTCATCTATCATGGCAATAGCATCTGATTTTTGCTGCTTGTAATTGCGATATTATTATTATTAGCTAATATTTTTGTTGGTATGGTTTTTACTTTTTAGCTTAACTTTCCAATGCTGCTGTTTGATGTGTTTAGGGTTAAAGTTTATTTTAAAAATGTGATACATAGGATTAGCAAAAATAAATAAATGAAAATCGGTGGAACAAAAATCTGGGTTAAGTTTAAGTTTTATTTCCATGAAAGGTTACAACTGCACATCTTTATGTTGATAACACTAATTGTTTTGTTTGTATGTTGCAGCCATCTGTAAGAAAGCAGCATAATGCAGGTTACAAACACAAGGTACTGTGAAATTGTCTTGCTTCTTAAAATAAGTGCTACATATCATATTCATGATGTTTATATCGCTGTTTCTTACTTAAGGGAAATGTGAGGTCCTACTACCAGCAATTTGAAGAACAACAAACCCAAAGTTTAATTGATCAAAGGATTAAAGAACATCTTGGGCAAACTGCAGTGTTTCAGCAGGTTGGTGTGGCTTACAATCACATGGTGGGTCAGAGGCCTTCCTTTCCTGTCTTGCCACCGCCAAGATTGCCTATTCCTGGAAATGCACAAGTTCTTGGAAATCAACAACTAATCCCGGGGTTCCGACCTCTTTTGCCTAGACCAGGTTCTGTTGCACCCTTGAATTTCTTTATTTAAGCATTTGTCTGCTGCATTTTACATGCAGACATCCGTGGCTCTTTTATTCTGCTTACGTTGACTATGATCATGCACCTGCTGATGTCTCCCTACAAATTATTTCTTTGGCTTTCATAACTGTAATCCCTATCTTGTGCATTTCATTTTTTAACTGTTCTACACTTCTACTTGATAGTTGATTGTCTGGCTTTTCTCACTTAAAAAATTCTATTATTTTCTTAAATAAAAAGATGTAAGAAAATTCATGCCTGCTTTTATCTGTTTACTTTGTTAAAAATTTTTGTGGAAGTGGCAACCTTCTATTCTTGTGCCCAAAGCTCTGGAAAACTGGGTGACCGTGGGCAAGTATTATCAATAGCTGCTTTATTGTAGCCATATGTAGTGTAACTAGTTTTCAATTGGAGTTCGCAGGATATCTTTCTGGACCACCAATGCCACAAATGGTACCTCCACCTGGTGCTCCCTCGTTTCCTGGTCAAGCAAATACCTTACCCAGACCCCCTACATTAGCCCCCCCATCAATGGTTCCTGGAAGCACTGCAACACCAGTTTCCAATGGTACTCCTTCCATGGTTTCATCAGCAGTGTATCAAGCCAATCCATCAGCATCATTAACTGGAGGTTATGATAGTTACAATGCCAACACTCAAGCACCTGAGGGCAATCACTGACCTGGTCAACCTAGTATGCTCTGTTGTATGGAATTATCTAATGCAATACTTGCTTACAAAAAGTTTCATCGCATTATTCTTTGCTATTTTATATTGGCAACTGAGAGAAAATATAGTATTTGCAGGGATTCTAACATTAGTTTGATTCCATATACTCTCTGAATATTTCTATTTCTATCTGTCATGGTTGTCATTTGACTAGAACTATTCATGGCAGTTGACGATCAAATGAGGACTCTCACCTACCATCTTATATTTCGACCCATCATATTTTGATATTTTTAGTATGTAGGGTGTCAAGCAACATGAATTTTGGGAAAAACTGTATGAGTTACTATTCTCGATGAAAGAATTCATATTGAGTTGCTAGTTGCTTAGAATTTTTCGACATAGCTTTGTTGTGCAATTATGTATATCTAAGCTTTTATCATATTGATAAACTTCTAGTTGCCACTGCAAGTTTGGGTTAGAGGTTATATCAAGAGTCATTGACTCTGAATATGTGATATAATAACTTTGTTAAAAATTGCTACCTAGAATTACTTAGATTTGTTTTCCCAAAGTTTATTGGATGTTATTGTGCTTTTGTTCCTTCACAAATTCCTTTTTTAACAAAATAAGTTTAAAATATTGTTGGCAAGGGTTCTGCTGCCTGCAATTCTCTTTGGTGGAGAATTATAACTACCATTGTATGCCCAAGGCTTGTAGTATGCCATGATGTTTGAAGGTGATATATTTCCTCTCTATAATTTTCTTTTTGGTATTGAAAAAATTGATATTTTAAAAATTAGTATTGTATTATACAATTTCGAATAATGCATTTTCATTATCAGTTTGTCAGCATTCTTTTAATTCCTGGTATTGTTATTATTAGAAAATCAGCTTCTCCACAGGCTGTTTGTTCTTTTACCTATCTTTTCCCAGTTTCAGTTTTAGCCTTTCCAACCTCTGATCTGGCATTTTTTTATAATTTAGTTGTAATGTGCATATTCGGTTTTGAAACTTTATGGTGAGCTAAGTAAAAGGGGTTCCTAATTCTTTGTAATATGTTTTAGTTCTACATGATGTGATTAAGTAAAGTGCTTCAATTTGGAAAATACATGGGAGACCTGAACTGAAGAGTAAAATAAAATGAAATAAAATAAAAAAATCAAAATACTTCAATTTAAATTTTGATATTAGTATTCCAAACTCGAAAATTCATAAATGGGTTTAATGTTTCATATGGGAAGATTATTTGATAAATATATTTACTATTATTTTAATTGAAAAAACATCATAATTTTAACCTACTAAAATATAAGAAGCCCTTATATGCATTATAGAAAGAAGACTACTTTATAAGCGAGCCCTTGTTTTTTTAACAAATAGCGTGGTTTGTAGCTGGTTGGCCAAGTGAGAGAATCTGGCAACCTGACAATCTATGGTCACGGGGTACGTTGGAAACGAATCAAAAAGAACTAGTTTTTGTATCATCAGTTTAATTCTTTTAACAAATTATTTATGGGAAAGTGTGTATCATTTTAAAGGATATAAAGTTGTGTCATTTTAAGAGAGAGAGAGAAAGAGATAGATAAAGGAGGAGAGAGAGTTGACAAAAAAAATAAAAAGTGTGGGTTCCTTGTGAGAGTAAAAGAATATAAGTTGTGTCATTTAAAAAGATAAATATTTTTTTCATTATTTATTAATCTAATTGGAATGAACTAGCTTTTATATTACTAGTTTAATTCTTTTAACAAATTATTTATTAATCTAATACGAATAAAACACGTATGAAGAATATGTGTTTAAGTCGTGAATCATTTCTACGTGCAAAAATCAGTGCAATGCAAGAGGCACATCCTTACAATATACAATTAAGTCACATGCACTACATGTGGCAAACACATTTTGGCTTTTGCACAAGTCACGTATGGATATTATACACTAAATTTAATTAAGTAGGTATGTGAAAAATGGGCTCTGATAAACCTTTTTGCTTGAAGTTGTCATCGAGACATGGCTCCTTTTCAAGAAGATCATGAAATCCATAAAGACATTATCGGGTCACTAATGCTCAACCTTCAATTCTGTTAATCTATTCAATAACTTGCACTCAACAAATGAACCAAAATGTTCTATAACACTGAATTTTGAAGGAAAAAGGCAAGAAATTCACACCTTGAATGGTACTTTCTTACCAATGAATGCAGTCTGCTAAACAAATCAGTGAAAACAATGTTTACGAGTGGTAACTCAATAAGACATTTAATTATGAAATGAATTTTTTTTTTTCAGCATATTCTACCAAGCTAGGTTAGTCCCAAAGAAGAAGGTGGGGGTTGAATTGTACAAACAGATCCACATGCAGAAGGCCCTTGTGGAGCTCTTTTACCAACAAATTGGGGTTAGAAGATATACCCCCGAGTCATAGATTGGAAGATCATCTGACTATCCCATAATCGCTGCCTACAAGAAGATTCATTCATAGTTGTTTAGAGTGCGAGGAGATTCAACACCAAATAAGGGTATTCCATGCACTTATGCTACAAGAGGTATACCTTTTGTGTTGATGAACTATATTGATTCTTTAACATCCCAAACCACAATCATCCTACATGTTTCAGCCGATCCGATTATTCCTTCAATGATAAACCTTCTTAAAACATGGGAACCAAAAAGTGTTTTAAGCAACAGGAACCGAAGTTTTTGCATAGGTTTTCATGTGGCAATAATCATAATGACCTGAAGTTGTACAATGCTTGTTCTTTACTTTCAATCCTTAGAGAGATTCCAGGTTGATTTTAAGTTATCTTTGTGTAAGCATCTTCTAAAGTGTGCTTTCCTTTGTCAAGTAGTCCATACTCCATTGGTGCTGCAAATCCTATCATGAAGAGGTCTACTCATGGAAAATTAATTGGTTACGATACCGATTGTGAGGCTTTTATCACATGAACTGAAGATGCAATAAGATCTACTTTGAGCATCAATGCTTCTGTCATCTTTTACTAGAGTCTAAAGGTAAACATGGAGGATCTTTTCAAAGTTGCCATCTTTTACTAGAGTTTACTAGAGTCCAAAGGCAAACCTGGAGAATCTTATTCTTGTATCATTGAGAAGAAAATGAAGGACCTGAAATGACTGCGGTCTAGGACAGATTGTCATTTGTTCATCCTGTTAGTGGAGAATCTTTTTTGGTTCAATCCAATTTACACGTGGATGTGGTTCATGACCACTAGTTCGATGAAATTGTTCAAACCAGAGCCACAGGAAACGATAACAGAAGAAAGTAGCTTATTGACAATTGTTTGGATTGAACAGGGAGACAAGTTGCAAACGGAAAAGCATCACAAGACTTCTCCAATTGCAAGGAAAGTTTTTGTGTTGTAGCCTTTGATGCAAAAAGCATGATATATAATATATAATATTCAGAAGCCAAAAAGGCTTTTATCTTATTTTCTTTACGTTTCAATAGAAAGAGGAAAGGGTCTTGCTCATGCGATCTCAGGGGAAAATCTACCATATGAATGCCTGGAAAGATTCTCTCCAAAAAGCAGGATGATCCTTGCAAATAGGAATGGAACCTTATAATGAAAGTCTCATTACAATGGTTCTCTCTCTCTCTCTCTTACCTTCAAGAAAAGTATAGAACAATAAAATACATATTCCTTATGCTATCATGCTTATTTAGGGTGCCTTCAGAGCATATGAGATGGCTTTCGATGCTATTTACACACCTAGAAATAGAAGGCTCTTGCAGGAGGTTTCCTCAGCTGGATCTATAGTGGTGAGTGAGTTGAAATGTTTGTTTATCAGACAGGCATATGTTCAATTCTATCTTTTTACTGAGTATTACTAATCATCTATTGCTTCCAAATTTTATCATCAATTTAATTCTCATTAATTTTCATAACAATGAATATATTCTTTTTGTTTCAGAAGATTTCAAGTGCCAGATTGTTCTGTAACAGTTTTGGTTTTTTTCAGACCCCATTTTCAGTTTACAAGATGATATGTTACCATATGTTTTTCTAACATTCTGAGTTACCGAAACAATAAACCTAGAAACATGGCCACTTATGTCACTAGAATAACAATCCAGCAGAGTGACATGTGCAGGTTTTCTAGGTCGTTATATTGTTAATAAATATGTGGCGCATTTAATGTTGACAGAAATGAAAATCAGTTAATAAATAAGCAGCTAGCTTACTTCGGCCTTGGCAGTTGGCATTCTTGATGTTCCTCTTTTTGAAGAACATTGCACAGGATTTGATCACTGTCAGTAACTTTCACAATTCTCCAATTATGACAAGAATGATCTTTGTTCTTGTTCTGTAATGAAAATATATCATAGTTTCATTACACAACTCTTTCATATATTTACTTTTAAGAAGTTATTTTATCTAAAATCAGACTGAAGAATTCTTTGCTGAGAGCTTGAGACTTTCTTGTTTTGCCTACAGAATGAACTTAAATGCCATGCCTTTTTCTTAATCATTGCGTGGGTATCCCAACCTTTTGGGTGTGAAACTAATCCTATTTGGGGTTGCCCTTAAATTCCATGCTTGAATATATTTAGAAGAGTACGGATAAAAGTGAAATAACTCACTCTTACTAAACAAGTACTTAAATTTTTAAATTGGAAGGTGTTTTTCATCATTGTTACTTTTTTCTAAAATATATTGGACAAACTTCTACTGTCCTTGATCTGGTGCAGGAAACTCCAAATTCTTAAAAGATGTGAAACCTCCATCCACAACCAAATTATGTCCACTAACATACTTGGCATCATCAGATGCAAGATAAAGTGCAGCATTAGCAATATCATTGGGTTCACAATTTGCTCCCTTCAGAACACCAACATTATGAACTATGTCTACAAGTCGCTGAGCATCAAGATGTGGATATATCTGACTCATTTCACTCATGACAAAAGTAGTGGGAATGGCAAAAGGTGATATGCAATTGACTCGGATTCCATACCTGCACAGCTCTGAAGCTAAAGATTTAACAATGCCTATAACAGCACACTTGGATATTGAGTAAGTGTGTTGGGCCATTCCTCCCATCACTCCAGTGACACTGGCTGTGCAGATAATGGATCCAGCTCCACGTGGCATCATTACACGTGATGCATGCTTGATGCCTGCCACAACCCCACGAACATTTATCTCCATGACTTTGTCAAACAATGCCAAATCCAGGTCAACAATGCTTGGAGGAGTTTTGCAGGCTATCCCTGCATTATTGTACATGATATCAAGTTGTTTGAATTCAGAGATGGCAAAATCAACAGCACTAGATATGTCTGATTCTTTGGTGACATCACACTTTATAAAAGTAGCATTAGGTCCTAGTTCTTTTGCAGTCTCTTGGCCAAGTTGTTGTTGGATATCAGCAATAATAACCTTGGCCCCATTATTGATGAATTTTGTTGCTGCAGCCTTTCCTATTCCACTAGCTGCTCCAGTGATCAGAGCTACCTTTTCTTGTATCTTCCTGGACCATCCCATCAGATGTTAATTAAAGGCATAAACTAGATTCTTTTGATAACATTTCCAATATGCTGAGCATCATTTGATGATGTATCTAATAATTGGTGGAAATAGAAATTCAGAACTAAAAGGGTTATGTAGTCTTCAATGTGCCATTAAAGTCTTGTATGTCAGTATGTGACTAATCATTTGTTCATCTCTATAGTCCTCTCCTTGCAGATAAACAACAATGTACTGCATCTAAGGTAGTATATCAAATGCAGGGAAAAAGACCTGAAGAAATAGTAAAGCAGCTAATCCGCTCCATATTATCAAAGGAAGTATACAAACTAAAATGCAAGAGAAAAGAGCTCAATTAGTAGTCAAAGCGGCTAGCTTGACTTTGTGCAATTAAATTGAGTATTAAGACTACTATGCATTTATCAAATTAATCCATTTTGTATCGGTCAAAAACCTTCAAATTGAAATTCCTACTTACTACACAAGAGATGTTTAAACTAAAATTTACAAGTATGTGATTAGTAACAGTGTAAATGGAAGGACTGCAGGGACTATAAATCAGAAACTTTTTAAGCATTCATAGTGGATTCATGCCTAGTTGCATCATGAATATTCATTCATTCCCCTCCCCCCCACCCCCTTGCTTCTTTTGCAAAATTTTCCCGTTACCAACCATAATTGTTCTTATTTGTCTGACCAGAATAAATAACGGTTTGCCATGCTATGGATAAATAGAAAAAGGAAATATAAACCAAAGACAACAGAAACTGAAGAACAACTTTGCCAAACCTTCCAGTCTGAGTAGATAACAACCTGTGGAAGCTCTCAGCAAACAAAGCCCTTGAATAGAAAACGTTTTCACTGCTTTTCACAATCAACAGCAACATAGTAAGCTGTATTACTATTCATAACTCGGAAATAATCAAAGAACCGAAAAGAAAATCCACATGCAGGATCAAAAGGAAAAGAATCAGTCAATTGACTCATTTCATTGACCTAGTTGTTAACACTTTGCACAATCATTCCACAGTTCCACCCAACAAAAGTGAACAAGTAAAGAAAATCTATAGCCATTTCCTTAATCCAAAATATTTCAATAAACAGAAAGCTGATTCAAGAGATAGAATAGCAGATTAAGTTGAAAATATAAAGCAGAACATCCTATAAGTTTTTTTAATCATCAAACAGAAAAGATAGATAAAAAGATGAAATGAAGTGTGAAACCAACCTCAAACCAATTCTAAACATGATTTTCTGCCAAAAATATGGCTCAGATGAAGACACACACAGAGGATGGTGTTGTAGTCCGAGCTTTAGCTTTGCTTCCTTGTTAGACTAAACAAGAGGTAGAGAGATAATGTAATTTGTGGAGCTTAGGGTAGTAAGTACAAGTACTATATAATATGCTGTTGGGTAATTTGGTCAATGTGGCTAAAGAATATATATGTAATAATATGCATGCCCCATGATTGACGTTCATAGAATAATTTTGTTTTTGAACCTCATCAGTCAAAATGCATTGCATTCGACATTGTGAGAATTTAACAATGGATAAAGGAATCAGTTCCCTAGACTGATCTTTGAATCAAAACATCTTATTAATACTGTTATGACCTAAGCACATGCACTGATATAAACACAAGACACTATACATTAACATATACAAAAAGAGGGGGTATATTCTTACTAAAAAAAAAAAGCCATTATTTTGTATACTTCAAGGGATAGTTATTTTCCAAACATGTTTTAACTGGTAAAGCCATTGTTTTGAGAGGGAAGAGATCATCAAAGATCAAACAATAAAACCCCAACAAAGTATGATGTGTTTGTGTTTAAAATTGTTCTGCCATTGTGCTATTTGGTAAAATTTCTTTAAAAGTTATATCATTGAGCTATGACATTCTCTTTATGGTGGTTATCTAGATACTAAAAATCAATAAATAAATGAATTAGTGTTTATTATTTTAAAGGACATACAATTGTGATATTTTAGTCAAAACTATTGTGTTTTATAGCGAGGAAAACAAAAACCATGGTGGAAAAAAATGAAAAAAATGTTAATTTAAATATTAAATAAAAAATAATAATTTTAACTAAAATAACGATCCTTTAAAATAATAAATACGTTTCCCAGTAAATAAAACACTTGTCAAAATAAAACATGGATGAAATTAACACAATTCCCAAATCAACTAAAATATAACGTAACAAATCTTAAACGTACTTTTCACCTACAAAAGTAAATCTTAACAAGTCAATTAAGCTATTTGAAGTGTATCGGGGCATAGGATTAGGAGAAGTCATACATGAACATGACTGATGACTCTCATGAAGAGGAGTCAAAATGGACTGCACTATCAAAGTGGGTTCAGCTCGACAAACAAGCTCAAATTACTAGCAAAAATGTGTGGGTTTGATCAATAAAATCAAACCTAGAATATCTTAACGGGATTTACTTCTAGCTGATTTGGTTTGACCTACACTCAACCTCAAGCCCCGAAGAAGACAAAATTAACCACTGAACTTTATTCTTTATTTTTGAAGTTTGCTTATGAATCATAATAAAAAAAAGTAATTTCGAAAGGGAAAGTATATCATGTCCCGTTTCGAAATATGCTTAAGAAATTATAACCGTTAGATTGACTGAAATTAATGATAATTAAGTTGATTGTAAATGTGGTAAACTTTTTTGGTAGTAAGTATATCCTGCGCCATTTCAAAATATACTTAAGAAAATACCATGTGTTAAGTAATTTAAGCCACGTCAACTTAGGGGTGGCAATTTCGGTTGACCCGACCCGCCCCGCCCCGCCACCAACCCGCCAAAAACGGGGCTGGGCGGATTGACCAGCCAAAAAATATGAGTTGTAAAAATGAACCCACCCCGTATTATGGTGGGTTGGCGGGTCAACCCACCAACCCGCCAATTAATTAAAATTTAAAAATAAATTATATTTTATGAATTTTTTAATATTATTTTATTTTATTTCACACTTCTCTATATTTTTTTTAGTCTCAATCTTAAATGTATACTAATATTTGTCAAACATTCTTTAGGAATTTATAAATAGATAACATTTGTCATAAATAAAATTGTTATTCTTTATTTTTTCTAGAAAATACTAAGATAAAAAAAAATTGAATATCACAAAAATTTAAGTACTAATGAAATACTACTAAATTGTAAAAAAATAAAAAAAAAATTTAAAACCCGGCGGGTCAACCCGCCCCGCAGCGGGTTGAACCCGTTTTGACCCGCTTCTAGGCGGAACGGGTTGAGGTGGGTTGAAAATCTCAACCCAACCCACCCCGTTTTGGCAGGTTGACCCGCCGGGCTCAACCCATATTGCCACCGCACGTCAACTTGCAGATGTCTCCATCCACACACTCTTAATTGCGGTTATAGTTCAATTTACAAATTTAATTTTCATAATCAATTGTTATTCAAATAAATCGATTAAAATTAAAAATATAGGGGCATTCCGAGAATTGAACTCGGGACCTCTCGCACCCTAAGCGAGAATCATACCACTAGACCAAATGCCCGCCTCTGAAAGATTCGTCTAAACTTATTTCCCAAGTTTTAAGAAAGGAAGTTGTTTCCCTCCAAAGCATTGAACCGAAAATTTTCATTCATCTCTTTCTACTTAGATTTTGATTTCCGCTCCAATTTCATAAATTGATTGCCGAGTTTTCCGAACTTCTTCTTCTCTTCTCTCTTAGCTATCTCATCATTCATTAGAATCATTACATTAGGTTTTTGCTTCAATTTCACTGTAACCAAATACTAAGATTGAAAAAAAAAAAAAAAATAGTATCGGAGTTTTCATTCCTATGACTGAGGCCTACACCTTTTCTTCTTCGCCTCACTCTCAACCTTCACCGCCACCTGCTGGTAATTTTCGATTTTTCGTTGCTTCGTTTTTTTTATTTATTATTTTTTAATTATTCGTTTGTTGTTAACTTATTTATCTTTTACTGCGATGGTTTGATCGTTCCTTTCACAAGTGGTTTGTTCTTTAATCGTATTGGAATTTCTGTGCGCTTTGATGTTATTCAGAAACTGCATTTCGTTTGTTCTTTTTGTCGTTTGGGTCGAGAATTTTTATTTCAAGTTATTATACCTGATTGTGGTGGAAATAGAGCACGCCAACCCCCACTCAATAAGTTAATGAAAAACTAAAATAGAGTTTAACGTTTTGTGTACTTTGATCAACAGACTCTACTCCCTACGATTATGCAACAGATTGAGTTGAAAGTTGTGTTTCTCTAGGGATACGTATGTATGTAAGAACTGAGAAGTAATTGCGAAAGTTATTGATTCTGGTTCTGCTTTTGGAATATTATGTATTTATAAAATTTGGTGAAGGCTGGTGAGGATCGTACTCCTGACCTGTTTTATATATAATTTCTCTAATACACTCTCTCACGCAAGGATTCTTTGAGCTTAAAGTGTGCTTAAAGTGTTGATATTGTATTGGAATGTGGTGGCAGTGAGGATCAAATTCGTGACCCTGTGATACGGATCTGATACCATGATAAACAACCATCTCACCAAAAAGCTTAAATTGTTAGGTGAATGCCACTTTAATGGTTTTATATATAATTTCTCTAATGTATGGTAGTACTAGCTTAGCCTGTTGAGAATGTTGTTTGGCTACAATTAGGAGATGAAGTCAAAGATGCAAATGAAGATGAGCAGTCTCGGGAAACTGAGATCTTTGAGGACACTTTAGTGCTCAATAGTCCCTTCACTGAAACTGAGGTGGAGAATCTCAATCCGAACACTGAGCTTGTAGAGGATTGGGAACCTGTAGAGAACATGACAACGGGTCCAATATGTGAGTATGAACAAGAAGTAGTGCTTGATAGTGAGGACGAAGAAATGAATAATAGAGATGCAGTAACTGTTGTCAAAGGATTTCTTGAGGATGAAACTAGTCCATCAATGCTATTACAGAAGAGACGGCTCAAACTACCTCGTCAGCAAGCAAACTCAAATGCCACCACTTTTGGGAAATCTGCTACTGGTATGTGTTTGTTATCTACGTTTTTAACATTGAGTGCCTCGTTTCAGCCTTTCTAATAATTCTTGCATATTTTTTGTACTGCATCTCTGTAAGTTATTCTTGTTTGACTTACCATATCAATAAGTGATTGTTTCTAGCGCACTTCATGAATGATTAACTTTTCAATAATATAATATGCTTGAAGGGGACAAAGGAACTTCAATTGATGCTGAGAGCTTTAATGACGACAACCATTTATATCTTCCTGGAAGATTAAATCACATCCACTCACCAGAGCCCGGGGATTCAACCCAAGCTGCACTTCGCTTTGTGGATCAGTACTTGAACAATGCGGAATTCTTTCAAGAAATTCCGTATAGAAAGACTCCTAGGGAGAATTCACCTCATGTATTTAGTGCAAAAGGACCACTAAGTCTGGCTAAGAAAATCAAAGCTCGAACTCAAAATGAAGAAAAAGAACCTTTCAAATGGCTCGACAGTGATCAAAATGACAAAGAAGCTGGTATCTATTGTAAAAAGAATGAAGCATCTTCAAATTTTGGAAGCTACAGGCAGACATATATGAGAAAAAGACAGAAAAAAGGTGGCCATCTTCAGAACCAAGGAAACTGTAGTACAGGTAATAGATGTGATGAGAATTCAGTCCAAGGACCAGGAATGGTAACTGAAAACAATAACCCTCTCAAGGAGTTGGATGTTCAGTCTAATGCTACAAGAGAGAATGTTAATGTTTATTCCAGTGTGGCAGATACGTTAGACATGTCTGATATTGGTTTAGATACTCAAATAGCTGCTGAAGCTATGGATGCCTTAGCCTATGTGCCCCCTCCTGCCTGTCATTTCAATTATGCTCACCAACCAGAGAATGCACTTGATGGCTCTTTAAGCAATTTGACAGAGAATGAAGCTCATCTGAAAAATTCTTCATATAGACAGGATCCTGGTTTACATTCTATCACAGTAAAATCAAATAAGAGAAATGTCTGTTCCGGTAGATATAGTAAAGTAACTTCTAGTTTGTCTTGCAAGCACACTGGGAGTCAGCCTAATCCCGTCTCAGGGAAAATGAAAAAAATGAAGAAAAGCAAGTCAACTGTTGTGGGAGAGTCTGAAAATAATACTAATTTGCCAATATGCAGTGAACAAGTATCACTTGAAGCTGTTTGCTCACTACGAGAGTATATAAGTTTTCAACCTGCTGCCAAAGAACCCAAAAATTGGAATAATGACAGCAGATGGACAAGGATCAAAGATCAACCAAGCCATCATACAGAGAACAATAATGTCAAGGAGGAGGGTATTATTAGATACAAGAGGAAGGGTAATGGTATAGTGGCTGATCCATTGAAGTTGAGTGTTAGGACAAAACGTCTTAAATTGCCTACCAATTTATATGGGGTGGCTAGGAAGAGCAGGTTGAATCATCAGGTTCAAGTTACTCCACAGCTATCTGCAAGCAGCAGTTTTTCATGTATTGATTCTTTGGTTTATCCGAAAAGACCAAGAGGAAAAAGAAAGCAGGCTAATGTGCGAATTAGTTTTGATGCACCTACAGTTTTGTGTGTTGAAAAAGAAACCAATGTCTACTCCGCTAGAAATCTAGAAGGTCGAGATGATGTGGATAAATCATGTTTTCCTCACTCCCGTCCACTTTGTAATGCTTCATTTATTGACAATGGCAGATGCTTCGTACAGGGGAACCCTGTTCAACCAGCTTTAGCTGGTGATGCCATGGAATTTGAAAACCTTCATGATAAGCATCCCTTATTGCTGGCACATGTTGAAATATCATCAAACAAGAGCGTTGCACAATCAAGTTTAGAAACCCCAGCTACTGTTGCCTCAAGTGAAGGCATAAAGATTTCAAACGCTAACCACACATACTACAAGCGTCACAAAAAGCCCCATGACAAAAACCAGCCGAAGTCTTCGCTTTTGAAGGAGATTATCAGATTAGGAACTCCTGAGTCCACGTCAGATACGATATGGAAAGATCTGAGACATCGAAGAGATATGGCATGTGTCCGAGTTCTGTTTAGCCAGCATTTGGATGACAGTGTCATCAATCAGCAAAAAAAGGTAAACTGTTGATTTTATGTTTATGATAGCAGATGTTAAATGTTGCCATTACCGACTAGTGATTTTGTTATTTCCTCCTTGCAGATCATGGTACGTCTCAATATATCTATTGCATCAAGCTCAATGGAGGCCTCACATTTCGTAGCAGACAGATTTACACGGACAAAGAATATGTTGGAAACAATGGCTCTTGGTAAATTAGTGGTGACACCCTTATGGCTTGAGAGCTGTGCACAAGCCAACTGTTTTATTGATGAGAAACATTACATTCTGAGGGATGAGAAAAAGGAAAAGGGAATAGGCTTTAGCATGCCTGTTTCTCTTGCTCGAGCAAGACAGAAGCCACTACTGAAGGTATTCGTATAAGCTTCCGTTAGTTATGCTCAGATTCTTATGCACTCATCATTTTTGCCTCAAAATCCGGTTCCTTGCCTCTACAGGGTAAAAGAGTCTACATGACGCCACACATTAAACCTAATAAGGAAGTGGTCACAAGCTTGGTCACAGTTGTTCATGGCCAGGTATGCATATTCACCTAAGCGTACCACTCCACAACTGCAGCTGAAATGTGGTTGCAATATTTGGCGTTTTTAGACTATATAATATGTTGCTTTCCCAACCTTCGGCCCACATTTTCATAGTTCATAGATTGTCTTTACTCTTCAGGTAGTGGATGATAGTCAGATCTATGCAGACAAGAATGATAATATCTTAGATGATCTATTGATTCTTTCTTGTGAAGACGACTATGCAATATGCCACCATTTCCTTGAGAGAGGTGTTGAACCCTTCCATCTTCCCCATAAATAATGCAGTTATGATTAATCTTATATTCATTTGTCTTATGGAACTACTTAAATTTGCAGGAACTGCTGTTTACAGTTCAGAGCTTGTTCTGAATGGAATTGTAATCCAGAAATTGGAACTTGAGAGGTACGATACTTAATTCTTTTCTGTTTTTTCACCTAGTTTGATACATTAGCCCAGCTATATAAATGCCACCTTTGATCTCAACCATGTATGGCTGTCTCCCGCTACCGTGAATTTGTTGTCTTGAAGTAACAAAACTAAGGATAGCTTAAACATTTAGTAAAGCACATTTAGCCGATAAATTGTTATGTGAACCTATAGTTTTCTGTACTGTCCCTCTTGAAGTTACGTCTAAACTAGGTATTCATGGGAAAAAGGCTATCCTAAAGTGATTTTGTCTCTTAAATGAATAAGTTGTGTTTGCTTTTAAATTTTAGTAAGGTTAAGAACTTAAGATCACATGCACTTAAAATTAAATGAAGGGTAGATATACTCTTACTTGATCACTTTAGAGGAGCTATATTCATAGGAACATGTAACCTAAACTAATGCCATGCCATCAAGGAGGGTATTTTTCAGACAACTTCATTCAAATTCACGAGTGTAGGAACCCATGCACACATTTGCATGTAGCGAGGTTATTCAGCCCTGAGGAAAAAGGAAAAAAGCATTTTTTTTACCCAATAAAGTGATCAGTAACGCATCTTCTAAAATTTAACATTATTTTGAACTTTGGCAGACATCAACTCTTCATGAATCAAGTTACAAGGAATAAACCAAGTACGTCTAATCGGTTTGGGAAGGTTTACAGAAGGCGTAGGACTTAATCTGGACCATACCTGATTTCTGAGACAGTATTATTCTGGTCTGCGGGAGAGCTCATAAAACCGACGGGCACTCGTGTCCGATGTTGACATTCTAGTGCTACTTGTGCAGCTACTTACAAATGCAACTTAGCATTACTATTATTGTTATTTTTGTTTTGGCATATTCTACTTAAAGAGAATCAAAACGATGAAGGATAGCTACAGAGTTGGGAGTGATTTTTATTTTTATTTTTTTTACAAGGTAATGATTTTAATGATGTATAAGTTGACCTGCGTTGATAGTGTACAGATTCTGACAAATTTGTTCATGAGGTTCCAACTATTTTTTTTTTGTGTTGCATGAGATAATTTATCTCGTGCAAAATGAGAAAAAACAATATCCCCTTTGTCCATACACATAAAATGTATGTATTTTCTTTTCCTGAATCAGCAAATTGGAGTCAGCTACATTTTGTAAGCTGCAAAATAGATGAACTCTTGGAGTTCTTCTTGATTTGTTAACCCTTCTGATACAAAATCTAAAATATATTATTAATTTAAACTTTTTGACAACTATTTACTAGTCTAAAGTGAGTGAAATGCATATACGGAGTATGTTTGTTTAAGTTGCGCATTACTCTCACACACTGCTTTATGTGGTTCATTTCACTTTTCTGCTAGCACAAAAATGGAAACAGATAAAACACCACAATACTCAAAGGCCACAACATTTCAATCACAAGATGGGATATAGAAACTCCAAAAGACCTAAGCTACTTGATTTCATGAGGATCAGATTTTAAAAAAATTAAGAAAGAAGCAAGATTATACTAAACAACAGGGGAAGTAAAATTCAATCCCAGCAGCAGTGAAATAACCAAACCATGTGGAGCAATCAAATTCAAATTGACTGGGAGAACTGTTCTATTCGTTGGGCAATGAGGTTAACAGCAGCATTTGCTGATGAGAATGCCCCATGAAAACTTTCTTTGTAAGAAATTGACTCCAGTTCATGTGCCATCTTCAACAAAATCTCACCCAAGTCTGTTTGCTTCTGTAGCAAAGAATTGTAATATGAGTTGGCAGCAACTCTGCTTATCTCCACATTGGTGTCTTCTGGACAGTATTCATCGTCCAACCATTTATGTAAAGTAACCCTAAGCCACTCCGATTCCTAATTAGTGAAAAAACAAACACATGTTGGAACATCTCAACCACTTATATTTCTAAAATTGCCTAAAAAGAATACCAATTTGAGACTTAAAAGGAACAAAAGGAGTACCTGCAAGGCAATGGTTGGGACTAACCAAGGGTCAGGAGCCCGAAGGTCTTCAACTTGGTCATTGGATTCTGGGGATGGATGAGAATGGGACCAAGCAAGTGTGTGCAAGTGGGTTCGAGTATGAAGAAGAATTGTTGAAGCAGCAGCATGTTGGTGAGTCAGACTTAAGGTAACGGAGGAGGGTGGGAATTTGATGACACAAGTGACATGGGGATTCAAAATCATGGGCTGACCCAGATTCAATTTCAAGGTTGTCGATATGGACATCATAGTCTCTGTCTCGTACTCACAGGGAACAACAAATGCTAACATCTACCATTCGTTTAGATATTTATAACTTTTTAGATAAGGCCTGAACCACCAGAAGTAGGTGGCAGTGCAATTATTCTAGAAGACTATTTCTCTTTTTAAGTTTAGAAAGAATTTGAGTAACCATTAAATACATAAAAATTTAAAATCTTCTACTATGATAGTGTGAAAATTGAAAGAAACATGCATTTGGTATTTCGGCATTGAAATCATCATATGACCAAACAAAATTTGCATTAATAAAAACATTTAACCTGATCAGAGAGCAATAGGAATGATACTTACACACCCATTCATGATGATATAATGGCCATGTATGTACTATTAATATTAATAAAAACATTCGTTTTTTGACCCTATAATTTTTTCTATGATTGTTGTATATCAATAATGCCATAATTCACACAAGTTTATGAATTATGATATTGCAGATCTCCGAGGTTGTCTGAAAACGAAAGAAATATAGAACATCATGGAACTAGAAACAACACAGAACTGCTGCATCAAGTTCAACGCCATCCTTTGCATACAAAGAACAGACATAGATGCACTAGTCCAACAAGCAGTAAGGCAATGTCTAAAGGCTTGTAGGATCTGCTGAGGAGCTTGGATCGAGGTTGTTAATACCATCCTTTGGACATATGATCATCTTTTGCACCATGAACTGGAAATCCCTGCATAGTTTAATGGTACAATACTAAATTTAGCAAAAAAAAAAAAAAAAGTAATTTATCATACCAAAGGGCACTTAATTTTTTCAAGTGTTGCTTAAGTAACTAAAAAGTAGTGTTTTAATAAGTAAATGAAAAAATCCAACCAGAGCTGTTTTTTGGTTAAAAAATTGAAATCACTTGATTTTGCAATTTACCATATGCATATTACTAAAATGTTGATGGTAAATTTTCACACATTCATGTACAAAAAGAAAAGAAAAACAACGGTGGTTTTTCAGGTTTCTTCTCATGTACATGCAATGTTTGAGAAGCAAATGCAGATTTTACAAATATCAAATTGTTATTTATACTAGAAACACATGCAGAGAAGTAATGTCAAGTTAACTTTCATAAGACATTACTGTTGATTTCAGTACTTAACTGCCATGGATAATCCCCTAACAGCGTTATATCTCCATCAGCATCTATGTGGGTCACATGCCATCCACTGCTTCCATTGATTAAGCTTCCTCCAAAATCAAACATGCAGTCAAGTTCAGAAATGAGTTCATTATATCCAGGAAAATGAGAGAGGTTAATCGCTCTTCCAAGAGCACTTCCCAGCTTAAGCACCTGAAATAGATAGTTGCTTGGCTTAGATTTCTAAATGCCTAAAAATTGTTTCAGCTTTAGCTACCAACTATATTATTTATATCATGAGGTTTCAATTCCCTCTCCTACCTATATTTTAGATAGAAGCACAAAAAATATCACACAACAATGAAAAACATTCTACAAAACTAAATAAAATCAAGCAATGGATGGTTAAATCATAAATGCTAAGTACCTTTGTGCAACTCCTATTAACAGAGCGACACTTCTTGCATGTTTTCCCAGAGGTAATACATAATGGAGGATTGGAAAGGAGACTTGAAATCTCGCTAAGAACAGAAAATTGTTGTGAAGGGAGCTTTGGTTGGTTATCAGTTAAGCTAACCCCAAAAAGCTTGTATCTACTACAACTGCCAGGTTGGCCAAAAGGAACATCATTTTCATCTTTAGAATGAGAAGAAGGCCATCCCTGGGATTCAGAACCAGTGGAGTTCACATTTGAACTCGAAGTTGATAAGTCTTCATGTGGAGATGACAATGGGTAGCCAAGAGATTGGTGAAGAGGGTCTAGCATAAGAAAAGGTAGCTGATTTGTATTGTAATCTTGACTTTGTAAGTCCCAATCCATTTTCTGAGATGCAGGATTGGCTGAATTTTGAACTTCGTCTGCTAACAAAAAGAGAATTCAACTAGGCCAATGTTCACAAAAAAGATCACATATTATCATAAACATGAAAAGTTATAGCATCTTGTAGCTTCCTCGAATCAAGAGAATTTCACAGGTAACTCAATTTTGAGAAATATATGGATAAGAACTTACCATCCTTGGGCAAGCCACTTAATCCAGGCAATGACGGGTTAAATACACATGCCTTTTTTGATAGGGGGGAAATAGGAATGTACTTCTTCTTGGCAGATTTCAATGGTTCAATCCACCAAGGACAAACCCTTTCAGGATGCATATACCTATCTAGTATGACATCCCATTGCACCTAAGAAGAAAAATATAGATTTAATTAAATCAAAGTAAAATAAAATAGAAAGGTATTATTACTTCAAGGAACTAAATCCACAGAATTGGTAAGGATTTGATTACCTTGAGACGTCTCCATTCTGAACCAGGCCACCTGATACTATCGATATCTTCAACACCAATTATTGTACCTGCATATCTGGTTACTCAAACAAAAAGGCATCAGACCTAGTTACAAGTAGATATTATAATTATCATAAACATCATTGGTACATTTTTTCTTTTATAGGGACAAAGGCATTTCAAAATAAACCATTCATGACTCAGCCAAACTTTGGCATCATCACCTTCTTGGAGATTCTTCAACTTTAAACCGCATTTGAACTCTCATTCCAATTGAATAGTCCGTTTCAGTTGACTTCATGTAGCTTTTCAGAGGAATAATAAATTCAAAGGGATTGGTCCTGTAAAAGATGCGTGTAAAAGCTCTTTCCACTTCAACCGTATACCCAAAGGGCATATATACATCTAAAAAGTAAGAAAATTAGATATATGCAATTGAGTTTTCAATCTGATAAATCCTGAACAACTCACCAAGGGCGGTAATAGACACTGAACATGGATCCTCTGGCAATAGCATGGGAAGCACTAGTCAATATTCCAAGTTTCATGCATTGACCCGATATCAGAGATGGATATGTGGATGCACTGTTGTATTGTTTAATTGCTCTACGAATCCCAATAAAAAGTTCTCCATTTTCCCCACTGCAATGATATAAAGTATTGTCCTGGTTACTAACACTTTCATTATCATTATCATGATTCACTTAACAGTCCCAATCATTCAAAATCTTACATTGCTCCTATAAATTTTCAAATAATAATTCCATATCAAATAATTTTTCAATTCTAATCCTCCAGTCTACCACTACAGCCAAAAAAACTCCTTTGCAAATGCATAACCATGACTATAGTAACACCTATACGAATTGGATAGAACAAATAATAATAGTTATTTTCTAACATGCTAAGATTAGAGGCATTCAAATAAATTAAAAAAACATGATATTTGGAATGGAACCAGAGTTTCTCTGCAATACCAACAAACAGAATTTGGGGAGAAGGAGGGAAAGACGAGACATAGATATAGAGAGAACCTAACGAAAATGCATGCATCTCCAGCAACAAGCTTTTTTGCATTCACGAATTTGCTCCAGCCACTAGTAAGCAAGTGTCGTTTCGGCTGACCTGCATTTCATTTTAGATAGTATCCAACTCAGACATTAACTAATGAATCTAAAAGAGCATTTATTGCAAGAAAAAAAAAATATGTGGACATGTTCCCCAACTTATGGTCATAAATTTGAAGGGGTTGCAAAAGTTGAAGGGCTACTTACAGAAGGGATGGCAGATACCATGAAAACAGATGACCTATCATTATATATTGTGCATTATTGTGAAACCAAAATGATCTTGTAACCAAATAAGAGATTAAAACTTGTTTTGCTACTAGCTCGACACTTTGGTTATTGCAATATGGGTTGACTAGTAGCAAAGGATCCAAATATATTTCCATAATAAAATGTCGTGGACTGATCAAAATCAAAAGGATCGTAGTTTTTTTTCAATTTTTTTGGAATTAACCCAACCCTAATTAACTTTTTGAGGCAAGTTGGCTCCCTTCGATGTCTCCACAAGCTTCGATTCTTTGAGCCGGCTATGGGATAATCCGGAGTGCGGAACGGGTCAGGGATGAGGATATTTAAACCCCTCCCAAAGATAGCATGTGGGGATCAAACCTAGGTTCTTTCCTTTTCACTTACTCAGTTCTTTTGCTATTAACTGAACTATCACCATTTGTAGTTTTATTCAATTTAGCATTAACATTGGTAGCATATTGTTGCAATTGGGTCGAGAATCTTTGACATAAATTAAACTTACCACGATATATATGTCGAAAACGCCACTCAAACCCATGCATGTCTTTCGCAACCAGCTCTTGTGTTGGTGGTTGATGAGTCATATCCTGTAATATCAAAGACATGAAATTAGCTCAATTCTTACCAAAAACAAATGATAAAAGCTTGGTGAAAATTAAAACAGAAAAGTGCAGAGCAATAAGATTGGCATGAGGAAAAGTAGAATGACAAAACCAAACCAATAAAAATCATGTCAATGTTTTCTTTAATCCAAGCCACTTGTTAATAGCAAAAATATGCTTCTTGATGAAATATAAAAATACAATAACATAGTCAAAAGCCACAAACAAGAACAGACATCACCCAAAAGTCCAAAACCACTTTGCAAATAAGTAGACAAGGCATAATCCCTTATCAAGCACACTGCATTTTGTAAATTAAAAAAGGTTGTTCAAAGTGTTATAATTCTAGATAGGGATTCCAACCAGAGGAGGGAAGCATCCATCAGCATGTCGCCTCGGAATAGAGAATCCACCATGTGTACTTGTGTCTGATGGAGTTAGTATCTTACTAAAGGTGTATGTTATAGTTCTGTAAGGTATCTGATAAGTGTCTTCTTGCTCCAATCTAAGATCATCTTGCTGCAAAGATCAAGAGCAGTAACCAGTTATATTAATACATTATCCATATCTGTATATCTACCTCACAAGATTAATTGATATTTCATTCTTCAAGATTGAACTCTGTAGTATACTAATTCAGTATCATTGAAACACCCATCTACCAACAGAATATATTAAAAAAAAGGACACTAGTTACACATGAAACAAAGAAGGAAAAAGGGAAGAAGATGAAAATAGATGTTACAAGAGAAAGTAGCCAACCTGTGGTTCGGGAACTAAAGTGACTTGAGCAAACACCTCATCTGTGTGAGCTTCAGCCTATAAAAGCAAAAAAGCACATTATGTCCAATATGCATTAAACATTTAAATTAAATAACGATATTAACCTGTGAAGAAAGATGACAGTACCTTTAACTTAACAGACCCAACCCTGCATAAGATCTTAGAAGGTAAATCATAAACAGGAGTTTCCATATGGTCATCTTGCAGATGCTGAGTAAATACAGCAACCTATTCCAGATTCCGGTCATTAGACCATGAAATTGTAATTGATTGGAGAAATATGGGTTTTATTTACAAAACCATATCAAGCAAACAATAATTCATTCTTTTTCTTCTGTTGATTAACAAAAGTAACTGTTCAATGTAGCACAATTTAGGGTTCCGAAATAAATTTGGGGAAACAATGGAAGATCACCTTTAATGTAAAGTTTAACTTGTTTATAAAGATTCACACAAAACATGTCAAGCAAACAATACTTTTTTTTTAGAACAAAGTAGTAGACACAACAATTTGAAAGAAGTTGCCAATGAGGGTGATCTCATGTAGCAAGAGTGAATAGAGCAATCCCACTCCTTAAACTGCTTATTTATTTTGAAATAAAGAAATAGCTGTAATTACTAATTTAGTCCAAGGAAACATCATGTTGTTTTGATAATTTGATGAATTAGAAATGGTTAGATGTAAAAGTAAAATTATTTATGTGCTTTGATCTAACAGTTTTGTTGGATAAAAGCACTTGTGTTATATATAAAATCATTCACCTAAATGTTTGTGTTATATATAAAATCATTCACCTAAATGTTCAAGTTTTTAAAATAGTTAGTATATGACATAACATTAGAGCCTACATGATAAAATTATTCATCTTGAAGTGTTAAAAAGAGTATCAAACGAAAAAAACGGCACTCTTGTGTTATAATATAATGATTCTGCATCAGAAAGGGTTAATAAGATATAAAAAAGTATATAAATTCATTCAATATTTGAAAAATGCAAAAGATGTGCAATCTTTTTTTTTTTTTTTTTTATAACAGATAGGGGCTAAGCCCAAGAAAACAGAAAAACAAAATAAACCTCTAAAAAACTGACAAGAAAGTACTCAGACTAGCCAGGATCAACATCTATGCAATGAGATGTTTCCTGGAGATCTAAATTAAAAACGGGAATCAGTTCCGCAGGCATGATCCGATAGTATTGTAGACCAAATGAACTTTGGATAGAAGACTTAGCTAGCCAGTCAGCACACCCATTTGCTACTCTAGAGATGTGCTTTAGAGCCACTGTCCAATCTTGATCAATAAGAGCTTGTACTCTTGCCACTATGTGTGGTAGACAAGCTGCATTGCTTCTACAAGCAAGCATCGTAATAATTTCTTTATTAAATGTTGTTTGCGTCCCAAAAGGTATTAAATGAAAAAATTGTATTAAAATTATTTTAAAGGTCTTGCGTCATAAAAGGTTAAAAGATATATATAAATATATAAAAAAATATTTAATATTTTTTTATTCATCTTAAAGTGTCAAAAAGAGTATTAAATAAGAAAATCGCATCTCATGATATAAATATTTTGCATCAAGAAGATGTAACAAAAAATATAAAAACATTTAATATTTGAAAATATTAAAGACATTTAATTTTTTTTACTCCCGAATAAATTTGCTAAGAAACACGGAAGGAGCATGTTGTTCGTGTCCAAAAATAATAGTAAATGAAAAAATGACATTCAAGTTTAAGCCATATACCTACTAGATTTCAATTTGTAATTTAATTGTACTTATTGATCTTAAACACATTTCCTTCTTGAGATAATAGTGATCGAGGATAGTGAGATCCTTGTTGGAAAGGTTGTCCATAACCTAAGAAATTGGATGGAAGTGTAAGGTAATCAAGAATCAAAATCTTAAGATTATAGGGATTTGTTCAAGCACTGTTGAAGCTTGATCAATAGTGATATTGAAGGCTGGACGTAGATCACGATGATTGTGATTGAATCAAGATGAATGGAGTTTGCACCTTCTTTAACATTTATCTCTTTAGATAAGCATTGTTTGCATACTTAGCATATTTATATTCATATTTATTTATCTATACTCGCTTGTCTAAGTTGCTATCAATTATATCTTGGCTTGAAAAAATTTTAAAACTCAATTTACTCATTCCTTTTGAGTTTTGATGCCACTTATCCAATAGAAAATGCAAAAGATATTCAAAAAATTTCATTCACTAATAAAATTTGCTAAGAAAGACAGAGGGAACGTGTTGGTTTTAAATGAAAAAATTGTATTAAAGTGTTTTAATGATCTTACAACAAAAATGATTGGAAAAAATACAAATTATAAAAATCATTTAATATTTTTTTATTCATCTTGAAGTGTTAAAGAAGAGTATTAGATAAAAAAATGGTATCCCAGGATATAAAAAGGGTTTTCGTTTTATCCTTTAACATAACACAACAAACTTTCCTACTCTCACAATATTTTGTGGGACCCACACTTTTTAAAACAAAAAAATAAATAAAAAATTAAGGCACGCAAAACGAATCTCTATAACATTATACAATCACTTTTCCTACAACATAACTCTTATAAAACCCATATAAAAATTAGGAAGGGTGACAAAATATATAAATGGGTTTGCAACTTCTGCTGCAGAAGTTGGGGATGTGCAGCAGAGAAAAAAAAGGTAAGGTCCACTTTGAAGAGAAAAAGAAGGGAAAACATTTTCTCCAAGGAGAAAATTTTTCTTATGTTAGTTATTCATAATATAAGTGGGGCTCACAAAATAGTGGAGAGAGAAAAAGTTTCAAGGTGGAACCTACTTATGCTATGAGTCACTAACATGAGAAAATTTTTCTCCTTTAAAATGAGAAAATATTTTCCCAAAAAATAATTGCTAGTGCGCGAAGACAAAAAGAGAGTGACAGAAGAAGAACAGTCTTCTGCTGTTACATAAGAAGTTTTTCCGTATAAATACATTAAATATTTCAACAAGTTAAAGGCATTTATTATTTTTTTACTCCAAAAATAAAATTTGTTAAGAAACATTGAAGGAGCATGTTGTTCATGTCTAAAATCAATATTAAATGAAAAAACAAAATTCAAGCGATTTAAAGGCCTCACGTGAAAAATGGTCCAAAATATATAAAATCATTGAATATTTAAAAATATAAAAATTATTTTCTAAAATAAAATTTGCTAAGAAACAATTAAATGGTTAAAAAGGTATTAAATAAAAAAAACATTAAAAGTCTCACATTGGGAATGGTTAAAAAGACATAAAAAATATGTGATGTGAATTTATCTTGAAGTGTCAATAAAGAGTATCAAATAACAAAAACACCATTTCATGATATAAAAATCCTATATCGGGAAGGATAAAAAAATATAAGTACATAAAAAATATAAAAGCATTTGATATAAAAAAATGGACCTCGTGATATAAAGAATAAAGATCTTGCATCCGGAAGGGTAAAAAATATAAATACATCAAATATTTGAAAATAGAAAAAATATTTAATACATCTTGAAATGTTAAAAATAATATTAAATAAAACATGACAGTCTTGTGTTATAAAGATTCTGCATTGAAAAGGGTCAATAAAATATTAAATAACTATAAATATATTGAATATTTGAAAATATAAAAGATACTTAATGCTATTTCATTTTTTAATAAAAAATACTAAAAAACAAATAAGGAGCGTGTTGTTCGTGTTCTAAAAATGTATTAAATAAAAAATGACATTCATATGTTTTAAAAATCTCACATTGGGAATGGTTAAAAGATATACAAATTAATATTTGATACTTTTTTTATTCATCTTGAATTGTCAATAAATTAAGAGTATCAAACTAAAAAAAAACATCATTTCATGATATAAACATCCTATATCGGGAAGGATAAAAAAAAAATATAAATACATAAAAATATAATAATATAAAAGCATTTGATATAAAAAAAAAACTCATGATATAAAGGTCCTGCATCCGGAAGGGAAATATAAATACATTAAATATTTGAAAATAGAAAAGATATTTAATACTTTTGGATTCATCTTAAAGTGTTAAAAGTGGTATTAAATAAAACATGATAGTCTCGTGTTATAAAGATTTTTCATAGTGAAGGGTCAATAAAATATAAAAGAAATACAAATATATATTAATATTTTAAAATATAAAAGATATTCAATGCTATTTCATTTTTTAATAAAAATTGATAAAAATACAACAAAGGAGTGTGTTGTTCGTGCTAAAAAAATGTATTAATTACCAAAAAAAAAAAAATTGTATTAAATAAAAAGTGGCATTCATGTATTTTGAAAGTCTCACATTGGGAATGATTAAAAAGATATAAAAATAATAATATTTGATATTTTTTTATTCATCTTGAAGTGTCAATAAAGAGTATGTATGAGTATCAAATAAAAAAAAAATGGCATTTCATGAAATAAAAATCCTATATCGGGAAGGATAGAAAAAAATATAAATTCATAAAAAAATTAAAAATATAAAAGCATTTAATATAAAAAATAACCTCATGATATAACCGTCTTACATTCGGTTGGGCAAAAAATATAAATACGTTAAATATTTGAAAATAAAAAGATATTTAGTACTTTTTGTAGAGATGACTATATGGGTTGGGCTCAGCAAATTTCACGTTGTAAAAGTCCAACGTTGAGAAGGATAAAAATTATTTAAAACAAAGTTATAAATATTTTATAGATTTGAAAATATAAAAGATATTTTATATTTTTATTTATTTTCTAATAAAATTTGCTAAGAAACACCAAAGAAACGTGTTTATTAATTGTGTAAAAAAAGTATCAAATGCAAAAAAAATAGTGGAATGTTTTAAAGGTCTTGCATCGAAGGATCAAAAGATTATAAAAAAATACAACAAATATGTTTGAAAACATAAAAAACTTTTGATATTTTTAATTCACTAATTAATGATGTTATAAATAAAAGAAAGTTATATTGAAGTGTCAATAAAGGGTATCAAATAAAAAAAAGTCATTTCATGATATAAACATCCTACATCGGGAAGGATAAAAAAAATATAAAAAATAAAGTTTGCCAAAACAATAAATAATAAATAAAAGAAAATTATTTTAGTCTAAAAAATAAAATATAATTTAATTTCCAATTATTTGAGCTGACATGTTCAGTTGAGTGTTACCAATTAAATTCCTTTAATTATTAAGAAAACCATTTAAAATAATTTATAATTATAGTAAGCATCTTAATAGAAGAATGAATCTTCATGTCTTTCTTCACCAAAAAAGAAGAAGAAAAGAATCTTCATGTCTTTCTGTAAGATGAGAAGATCTTTATTAGCCTTAAGGACAAGTTTGTCTTAAAAATGAAAAACTAACTCATATACCTATTCATAAGATGTGGTCATGAGACATGTAAAATATTTTACATAGAAATAAATACACAAGAGTTCAAAACAAATAAAGCAGAGGATGAACAAAAGGTACTAAATGAGAAAGGGATCATAGAAAAATGGCAAAGGAGATAGAACCTGCTCTAAGTGACCTTGAGGGAAATAGAAAACCTTCTCCCCAGCGCGAGGAACATAAACGGATGGCCCGGAGCATGCATGCCACACTTCAGTGTACAAATCATCTCTCACATCTATAACAACATATATATATATATATATATAACCCCAAAATAAATTAATAATAGATGAAGATGATTCGTGAACAAAAACTCTCGTGGCAAACAAATATAAAAAGGGACAAACAATCAGAACATAACGAATTAAAAATTGAAAAATATATATATATATATATATATATATATGGTTGACTTTAATTTCTTCCATGACCCCAACACCTACCTTGGTTAAGGTCGCTGTCGCTGGCTTCACCATCCATGTCTCTCTTCCTCTTCATTGAATGTAAGAGAATGAAGAGGAGAAATCAAAAGGAAGAAAAAGAGAGAGAAAGGACTGAAGCAATTTGAGAGGTAGAGGAAGTTAAAAAAAAGAAGAGAAACCAAAAAAGGGACAACAGTGATTTAAGACCGCGGCATGTCTTGTTCTACGCAGGGAAAAAGAAACCGTTTGAAACCCATGCCATTCAAGTTTGTAGTCACACTATGCGGACCCTTCTTCTCTCTCTCTCTCTCTTTTCAACAAGTACAAGTCTCACTCTCCCTCCATTACCATGCCAGCTTTGAGTAACGCATGAACGTGTGTATGTGATCGGGTACGCGCAAGTGCAAGTTAAGAGAGCAGAGACCCAAAAAAAATAAAAAATAGAGAGAGAGAGAGAGAGAGAGTGCACCTGAAAATAGCTAGAGACTCGTTTCCTTTTTATTTTCTCGTGTTCGATGAGTCGCTTCGCAGCTTCTCATTTCTCTCTACCACCGTAGTCACCGTTACTTCCTCTCTCTCCTTATCTTGAATGGTGATGGTGGCGATGTTTGCTAACTTGCGCCGATACGATCGAAGCATTTGATTATATCGCCTGCGCCTGCATGCTTTGCATTGCATCGCCCATTCGTCTCTTCTGCGTTTCCTTTCCTAAGGGAAATTATAGGGTAACGGCCAATGGTAGTTAGCGTGTCCTCACAGCTCAATCATAGCCGTTGATTTCAATGAATAATTGATTTATTTTTTTATTTTTTTTATTTTTTGTACATAAGAATAATTCGATTTTAGCATGTAATCATTTCATAGTAGATACAAGCGAGACAAAGAGAGAGAAGGGTCCAAACCGGGCACAGGTGAAGTGTGGTGTGGTAGAGGGAACTTGAGGTGGACATGCGGGTACTTTGTATGCAGACCAAGCGCCAGTGACTGCAGAAAGCTGGTACGGCTCACCCCATTCACACGACTTACGCTATTATACCTCTTGTACCATTAATTCAATTATTTTATATTATTTTTTTTGCTATTTTCATACCTTTTAATTCAAAGATATGACTGATTCTAATACTACGGAGTGCTAGAAATTAAATTCAGGCAACCCAATTTGAAAATAAACTTATAAACTAATTACTTATAAACTAATTATATATATATATGATAATTAACTCTTTGAGGGGAGTTATTTCCTAATATTTTTATAAATTTTAACTTTTTAAAATGAAAAAAATATTTCTGCAGTTACTGCATATAAGTTATCTGCATTTATTATCAAAATAACGTCGTTTTGATATTGAAATCTTAAAAAATAATAAATATTAAGACTATTATAATCCTGAAATAAATTAAAATTATAAAAACACTATGATTTCCACCCAAAACGATGTCGTATTGAGCTTACTGCAGATAACTTATATGCAGTAACTGTAGAAAAAATAAACCTTTTTAAAATTATTATGAGATTAATCCTATGTGAAGAATTAGTCACAATTAATTTTTTTTGCTTATTTCCAAAAATATATTTAATGACAATTCTCTTGTCACCTACTTAATCTGTGTTCTCAAATCAACTACATTCGTTAGGTTATAAACTAATATATTATAACCCTATGTTCTATGTGTAGTTGAGTCTTGAGATTCTCTATCCCACTAATATATTTTTTTGTGAATGAACCTTTGTTTATAGGCTTGATTAATAACGACTCATATTTTTTTTATATATTAAGAGTCTGCAGGCGCGCTAAGGATTGAGTGATTAGGCATATATAGAACTACCTAACGGTGAAAAATCACCTGTTATCAAAATGATCCCAATGAAAGCGACATTTGTAATGTCTAGAATGACACTTGAGTGGGGCCCATGAAAAAAAAAAAATCAACTATATTTCACTGTTTCTTGAAGAGGTAATTTTATCCCTAACTTATAGGGGAAAAAATATTATATATGTTAAATTATTTTTATTATACTTCGGTGTTATGTTCATGTGTTTCTAAAATAGTTTTTTGTTATAAATAATTAAAAGGAACATAATTAATTTATCAAATAAAATATGAAGAATGATATTGTAACAACTAAATTATGTTACTACCATATTACTACCAATCAATCTCACCGTTAGATCGCTTATGTTGATCCAACGATTATATTTATTTTCATCTTTGTATGATTATGATTTCTCATATTTAAAATGAAAGCATTAAATATGAAAAATCATAACCATATAAAGATGAAAATAAATATAAAGTATTAAATATAGAAAATCATGACTATATAAAAATAGAAATAAATATAACCGTTAGATCAACATAAGCAATTTAACGATGAAATTGATTGGTAGTAACATAATTTAGCTGTTACAATATTCTTTTCCATAAAATATTTAGAAAAACAAACAGAGTAAAAAAGTGTGAAAATGAGAGGAGGGAGGGGGAATAGAAAGCCATGAAAGGAAAGAATGAGGTGGCGGAGACTTTCTTTATATGGAAGGAAAGAATGAGGCGTCAAGGCATGCGCGTAGACGAAAAACGGCAGCGAATAGAAAAAAGCCATGAAATCGTTCCTTTCGCCGCCCGACCGTTTCTGATGTTGCTGAGTGCTTGCTCACGCCCCTATTAGCTCCTCAAAACCGAGACAGACACGTGATGAGGCTTATTCTTGTTTGTTTATGTTACTATGTCGTTCCCTTCCTTTCCCCTCTCTGCATTTCTTTTTTGTTCTTTTTCATTGCTATTGCTCTCGCCTCTCTCGGTGTATAAGTATAACAATTATCGGAACTTATTCAACTCCCCTGCTCATCCTGTGACAAAATAACATATATTATCCATTACATGTTCATCTTATCTAACGCATCATATTAGTTTAAATCTCTTATAAATATTAATATTGTGAAATATAATGCACTTAGAATTTGGCTTTTACAAGAAGATTAATTAGGCTCGAAATGTGATTTATTTTTTTAATCTTTTAATTATTAAGTTGATTTTATTTTTATTATTTTAGGTGTGTTTAATGTTGATTTATTTATAATTAGCTATATTTAATTTTTTTATGCGTATTTTAATTACGTTTTAAGGTTATTTGACACCTTATAAAAACGTGTGTAAGACTTCATTTGTTGGTAGTTGAATATTTTATTGTCTTGATAATTATAATCAGAATGAGGATTTTTTTACTATCAAATTCAATTTTTTCTATTTAGCCACTTATATATGTTTTCGGTATTATTTAATATCAAATAATTAAGTTGTCATCAATCAATGGCTGAAAGGAACCGTGAGGGGACGTGATTTAGTTCCTGAAGAAGACTTGAAGCCTACTCTAATTATTCAATCAATTTTATAATGTTCTTTTTATAATTATTTTCATATAAAGATTTATTAGTTATATAAAATATATGAATAATTAATAACTATATTTCCCTAATAATCAATTATATTTTAATGAAATTCGAAGCATTCTTATAAAAATTTAGTCCCAAAAAGCACTACTATAATTTCATGTAAATAAAGAAACATTTATTGAAAGATTTCATCATAATTTTTCATTAATTAATTATATATATATATATATATATAAAAGGAATTACATAAAAATAATAATTAATAATGAATTTTCAATTCCTAATAGTCAGTTAAATTTAAATTAAATATATTATAAGTATCCTCATTTCTCTTTCACCCTAAACATAAATGTTAATATGATATAAAAAAATTATCCTCTTACATGCGTATTTACTATTATAATGATATAATTAGATGTAATATATTAATAAAAATATAATCCTATTTCAAACTATATTACAATTATAAACAAACAGAAAAGTTTAATGATTATTGGTTAACACCATATATTAGATAATGATTTATGTATTTAATTTATCTTAATAAAATTAGGGTCCTTAACTTCTCCTTTAGATTTGCACTACTAGGGTTAGGCTAGTGGTGTTGGGTGTGTATTTGGTTTACATTTTGATTCTCATATAATTTCCCAAAAAAAAAAAAAAAAAAAAAAGTTTTTTGCAGCAATCAAAGACATAGTTAAAATTATTATCACCATATTTTGTTTTGTAACGACTGTAGCTCAATCCATAGTAGTGTTATACAGTAAACCTGTCTTGATCGTCACTTAATATTACTATTAATTATCTATATGTAACATTACTTTATGAAGTGTTTAATTACACCATTAACTATTAATTTTATAAACAAATAATATTTTTCGCTGACAATAATAAGAATTTATTATTAATAAATTATAAAAACAAAAAAATAAGTATTACAATTATTCTGCAGTTTTCGTTGATTATGGCTGAGAAATTTTTTTGTCATTTCAAAATCTGGTCTGCCATCGATGCTAGGTAAAGTTAGGGCCTTAGGGGTGTTACTGTTAATTTGGGTAGATCTCACTTATTCGGGGTCAGTGGAAATACAATTCGGGTCAAATGTGGTTTGGACTTTGGACCACACCAAGTCAAGTATCATTTAGACTTTAGAGTGACAAATTGTTCGCACAGCTATTCGAGTTAGTCTGTAATTTTTTATTATTATTTATTTAATAAAAATATATAAATAATAAACTTAAATAATTTTTTATGGGAATTTAATTAATTAAATTATATTAAAACAGTCAAATGAATTTATATTAAAATTTTAAATTCAGTCAATACATACAATAAAATGAGTTATCAAGTTTTTTTTTTCAAAGGATTATATCTAAGAAATTTTTAACCATCTATCATAAAATCAACAAAATGAATGCTTAAAGACTCACTTGAGTACGGTACCATTAAGGATAATGTAACAATTTCCATGTAAGATTTATGAAAATTGTTATGGTATCTTCATAATAAATGTATATAGGGTGGCTTATTAAATATTTATCAGTGACTAAATTTATAAAAAATATTCAAAATTAAATTAAATATAACTAATAGGTAATAAATGTTTAACAATTCACTATAGCTATCAATATTCATGAGAAAATCTAGATTCTGGAGTGAAATTCACGTTTATGACCGAAATTGAATAAAATTTCATACATATTAATGTACTGAGCTCATATAATTTCTTCTTAAGGATGTTGCATGATGTAGCTCACATCATTTGCTATATTTTCAGCATCTGCGGCAGCTCCATAGAAACCTCTCCTTGATAATCCAACGCAATACAAACCATTCTTTCCCTTCCAATGAATGGGGTAACTTGGCTTGGGAAGACCATCCTCACTCAGAAGGTAATCATCTCCCTACACCATAAACAATTAATTAATTGCTAGTTATTTCATTATATATACGCGTCCACATTGAAGTTTTACAAATTCTTAGCTTAACGCATTTCTTCTAATTCCTATATTACATATTAATCATTCGATATTAACCTTTTTTTCCCTATATTACCTTGAGCCACTTGTGAGTTGATCTCTTGAAGCCGGTGCAGAAAACAATGGAGTCAAATGGGTGCAATTTGCCATTCTTGAATAAGACATCCTTGCCTTTCACGCTTTCTATTTCTGCTGGCAACACCTAAGTAACACACACAATATATACAATGCCGATTCGTCACGTTACAAAAACATTAGGTGCACGGCACAACTATAGTTCTTGCACTTTGCAGGCCAGGGATAAAATAATAATCGGCAAATGAAACAGTTTACCTAACTAATAAAGTTCAAAAATAATAGTTCATCGCAATGCCACTTTATGGATTTTTAAAAAGAAAAAGAAAAAAGAAAAAAGAAACTTAGTAATAGTAAAAAATCAAATTCCTGTTTCATTGAATAATTGTCATGTACTCACTAAAGAGGGTAGTAATTGAAATATGAACTTCAACTAACCCCCAAGTTGAAGTTACACCAACCAATTAAGGCTATCTGTATAACGCACCTTTAACTCTCCAGACTTAATTTTCTTATAGGTTCCAACGTCAATAACTGGATACTTGCCGTACTTGACCTTCATGTAAAAGGGACCCTCATTGGGCCTAGCTACCCCGTACTTGGTGACATCCCCGTACACAATCCTGCTAAGTATCACCATCATTGAGTCCACCGTGCTCAACGACAAATGCTTCAGCATAAACAACCCCAAATTCACCATCTCCCTTGATAGAAAATGAACCTGCCCATTGCATGCACTCTATAATTAGTATCTGTCTTAACCAAATCACAACTCATTCAAGTAAACAAAAGATCTAATAACCATACCCATTTAAGTATACGTGTTTAATTTTTTTTTACATCAATAATATATGACGAGAAAAAAAATGGACGAGTGAGGAAAAGTGGTAAAATTGTTTTCTCATGACTAAAAAGTTACTGGTTTGAATCTTACCGCGCTTCGAACCACAATGGAAGTTTTGGCACCATGGTTAACCAGGTCCAATGCAATTTCCATGCCAGAATTCCCAGACCCAACAACAAGAACATGTTCATCTTTGAAATCCTTCCCAGACTTAAACCCAGTTGAATGAAGCACCTTCCCAGGGAAGCTCTTCAATCCTTCCACCACCGGCACAAAAGGGTCAGCGGTTTCTCCAGTAGCCACCACCAAGAAACTCGAAGCATATTCCTCAACCTCACCAGAGTCTCCATTCCTAGCCTTCACCTTCCATTTCTTAGAACCTTCATCATACTCTGCCAGCTCCACTGTTCTGCGATACAGAGGACTGATTCTGAAGTGAGAAACGTAGTCATCCAGGTACTGCAAGAACTGCTTCTTGGGAACATATTCTGGAAACGAAGAAGGGAATGGCTTGTGAGGAAGCTCACAAAACTGCTTTTTGAGGTGAAGGTGAAGACGATCATAGGAATATTTCTTCCATAGTGAAGCAAAACAATCTTCCCTTTCAAGGATTATGTAAGGAACAGAGTGTTCTGTGAAGCATGCAGCAGCAGAGAGGCCAGAAGGGCCTGCTCCAACGACTATCACTGCATTCTCCGATTTCTGCATTCTTTCTTTCTTTCTATTATGATTAGAATTTAGAAAACAAAAGAAAAGGTAAGATGAAGAGAAATTAAGCCCCTAGTGAAGGTATTTTATATATTCAATGGCAATGAAAAATGGTAGCTAGGTAGTCATTATTAATCATTAATATATGGCGCTTTCCATGGGTTTCGATGGTGCGGATCTTACAGAATTGAATGAGTCTGAAATGTTTAAAGTTTTATAAAGTGGGACTAGAGGTGGCAACACGGGTCAACTCGACACGACACGACACGTTTTCGACCCGTACACTATTTGACACGACCCTGACACGACCCGTTGCGGGTTCGGGTCGACACGACACGACCCGCAAAATTTAAAATTTTAAAAAAAGTGGGATTTTTTGAAAATAAATAAATTAAAAACAATAAAAAAATAAAAAATAAAATAAAAAAAGATTAACTTCTGTTTCTTGAGATTTTTAGTTCCTTGTATTCTTTTCTATACTAAACAATGACTATTTATATCAATATATAAACGAATAAAAATAATAATATAATAAAATATTTAATTGAAAATTAAAAAAATGACACTGTGCGGGTTGACACGCGAACCCGCGGGTTGACACGTGACCCGACACGAAAAAAAACGAGTCACATTTACACAACCCTGACACGACCCGCCCTGACCCGCGGGTTGACACGACACGTGATTTGGCAGGTCGGGTCATGGGTCAACCCGCGGGTCAATACCTGTATTGCCACCCCTAAGTGGGACGGCTACGTTGCATTGACATTGACATTGTCACGGACAACACGACACCATATGACATGTCGACACATTAATTCTAAAATATGTTATAAATTTGGACACATTTTGATATTAAATAATATTTTTAAAATATATAATATAATTTATATTTAATACATATAACAGTTCATAATAAGGGCTCTTTGACCAACAGGGTTTTTTGAGGTTTTAATTTATTAATTTGGTATTTGGTTCCCGGTATTTATCAATGGGGGTCATTTAGTGACGCGAAGGGACCCAGCGTCACCGAGTGCCGCTACCACCCCCCGCATCACTCACATTCTTTTATTTTTTATTTTTTTTTAATTGAGTGACGCCCCCTCCCCTAGGACACTCACAGGATTGTGCCAAGTGACACAATTTCTTTAGTCGCGTTACCGTAAAACTTTGGAAAGCCATAACTTTTGACTCGGGTATCCAAATCAGATTTTTTTATTTCACATAACTTTTCGAGATCTACGCAATGACACCTCATTTAATATATTTTATCTCTCACAAACATAGTTCAAATCTGTAAAAAAAAGTGGAACTAGTGTTGTAAATTTGAACTATGTTAATGAAAGATAAAATATGTCAAATGAGGTGTCATTGCGTAAATCTCAAAAAGTTATGTGAAACAAAAAAAAATCTGATTTCGATACCCGAGTCAAAAGTTATGGCTTTTTGATGTTTTATGGTAACTGGACTAACGAGATTGTGTCACTTGGCATAATTCTGTGAGTGCTCAAGGGGAGGTGGCGTCACTCGATTGAAAAAAATAAAAGAATGTGAGTGACGCGGGGGAGGGTAGCGGCACTCAGTGCCGTTGGGTCCCCCTCGCGTCACTCGGTGACCGTACTTTGTTAATTTTTTTGTCAAATTTCATAACAGAAAAAATTTGATTTATAAATTATTTTTTTATGTTTAGTTAATAAGATAAAATTAAGACTACAAAAAACGTGTTGGATGCGTGTCGGAGCGTTGACCGTGTGTCGAAAAAAGTTGACTGCGTGTTGAAAAAATATGTCAGAACATGTCGGAGAGTTGACCGCGTGTCTCAAAATGTTGACGGAGTGTCAGAACATGTCGAAACCTATCGGTATCCGACACCCATTATTTTAAAAAATGTGCGTGTTCGGGTATCATGGGGGGACTGCTTAGATTCTTGTGTAATAATATTTACTTTAAAATTAATATGTATTCTATATTTTAATAAAAATATAATTTTGAGAAAAAATCTTAATATTTACAGTTTTTTGAGAATATGACACTTCAAGCTTAGACCATATTATCCGTGCGTACATTATCATTTACGCACTGCCTAATATATCCATATACTTGTCTATGCAACAAAGTCCACTCTTTGTCAGATTTATAATTAGGTTTCACGGTAGCAAAAACTAATTGATGATTTTTTTTCTCTCCATAAAATAGATCTTCCAATTTTGTCTTTCAAATATTATACTTGAGGCCCCATTCTATTGGTATTAGTTTTCATTGTTTACAAGATAAATTTCACAAATCACATTAGCTCTTATGCTAGTTTGATAAAAACTAACACCAGAACGACAAAGCCCTGCATCACTCGCACTTAAAGGAAGAAATATATAAGTAGAAGAGACTATAAATTTAAGGGATAAAGGAGAAGTTTTTTCTCAAGTCTCATCGAACTTCATGCCTCAATTTTTTTTTTACTAAGTGACGGATTTCACATATTTTATGGGTTAGTGAGAGATAAAAAAACTTCTCCTGCAATAGTAAAAATGCTTATTCCTAAATTTAATACCTTAAAAGTTTTTGGATTATTCTAATTAGGAAGACTAATATTCACACATCAATGAAAAACATGACAACTCATAATAAATGAGTAAATTGAACAACGCATATAAATCCAAAAACTCTATGCTCCATATTAATCAATTCTGTTAATTTGGAAGGTTTTTTAGGTAAAATATCTTACTACCAAATATTCCTATTATTAATTTAATATAATTATGTATTACCGATAGTACATTAAAAATTATTTTTTTCTCTTTCTCTTAAGAAATTTTTTAAAGATTGTCTGCTGAAAAGTGGAATCTAACAGTTAAAAAATGGTAGTAAATTGATAGTAGAAATATTTGGTAGTAAGAATATCTTATTTTATATATGGGACATGATATTCTTACACTGGTGTAAGAGTTAGAAGTCTTACACTCAATCTTGACCATTGATCCACTTGTATTCAATGGCTCACATTATTAAAAAATTTGAGCCCTTAGATATAAATGGGATCAGTGGACAAGATTAAGAGTATAACTTACACTGGTGTAAAATGATCTTAACCCTTTATATATATATATATATATATATATATATATATATATAGGGGCAGGATATTCTTACACCAGTGTAAGAGTTAGAAATCTTACACTCAATCTTAATCATTAATCCACTTGTATCCAATGGTTCATATTACTAAAAAATTAGAGCCCTTAGATATAAATAGGATCAACGGATGAGATTAAGAGTGTAACTTACACGGCCCTTTTTACTTAAAAAGGTACCATCAAAAGCGACTCAGAGTGTGTTTCCTACGTACAGAGCATGCATTGGAGGAACCTGGTCTTCCTTGCTAGCCCCTTTATAAGCAGCTCAAAAGCTAAAAAGTGAAGCAATCTCGATGCTGCTTGCATGTGAAGTTTTCTATCTTCTTGTTAATTAGCTCAGACCCTGACGAATGGCACGCATGCTGGATCTTGAAGCCCCCCCAACCTTGTCCACCTATACATTAATTGTGTCTATTTAAAGCTGTCTCCCTCCGGTAAATACAAATGATGACAACTTATAAGGCTTGTTCAAAAAATTCTTAGCAGTAGTTTAACCATTGAGACAAGGATGTTCTTGTGATTTGAAAGCATTTGTAATCAATTTAAACCCAATAAGTAATTACCAAATTAAGAAGACCCCAAGCTGTAATTTTATATGCTAAACAATAAAAAAATATAAAAAATTAATTCAATCTTAGAGCTCAAAGTGTTAAGTGAACACATTTCTTAACATATGTTTATAGGCTTGTTGTTGTATTAGAAAATTTCATAATATTTAATTATTTATTAATTGAATGTGAGGGCGAAGAGGATTGCATTCTTAACCTTGTAATCAGGTATGCTTTTATATCATGTAAATAATTAATTTAACCTAACAACTCAAGCTATTAAGTAAATGTCATTTTAATATATAATTTTATATTTCTTTAAGAAAAAAATGATAAGAAAAGCAAAAGAGTGAAAATGCTTAGTTGTTAGTCACTTTCTCATTATTACAAAACATTATTAATACTCATGATACGTACATATCATGTGGAGCTTCCATTGATAATGAAATTCATAATGGAAGTGATATGAATACGTCATTTTGTTAAAAGTTTATCGTAAGAGCATAGAATCACTTAGAAGGAAAAGGAGAAAGGATACATAATAAATTTGATGAACTTGTCGAGCTATATTTTCAACTGCTTAGTTCATTGCTTTGATTGGTGGTAGTTGGGTGCCTGTTTTAAGGCAACTGAAAAATCAGTCAATTAATGCAAATTAAAGGATGCTGTTAAAATGTGTCACTCAATTGGTACACCAGGAGCTCATTATCATGGTGCTGAAAATATTTATTGATCAGCAGAGAAAACCGAACTACGTGCCTCACTAGATTTTTCTTGTTACTTAGCAAGTCAACTGTTTTCTTCTTTTAATTGGAATTACGCAAGAGGTGGAAACACACCTGTTTGATTATGAAATGCATACATGTCAAGTTCGTTAGCAAATGAATATTTTTACCTACCATAATCATGTCACCGGTCAAAAATAAGAGCTAAATGTGTTCAACAATTATTTGCCGACAAAATTATATTTGAAAATTTTTAGAATTAATTTTAAATTAATTATATTTATGAATAAGAATATTAATTTAAAAAAGATATATATTTTCGTAGTTGAATGAATGTGTTGTTTCGTAATCTAATAAGTGTCATTTAAAACGTGACATTTAGTGACGGAGCCACTTGTATAAGAACCAGCTAATTTTTTAAAATGGCACATATTTTTTTCAAAAATTATAGTACAACTTTAGTACTAATTGAGTTTTCAGAAATAATATAAGTATATAACATTGGTATTGGCTGAATTCTACCCCGTGAATCTTTTGGCACTAGCTGGATTTTTCTTTTGGGTCTGCCAAAGGTGACATTTCATTTTTTATAAATA